TGACAGCACTGCCAGTCCCTGCACACTGGGAGAGCATCCGGGATGCAGCCAGGGAGGGATCCCACAGGCACTGCACGATGGAGGCCTGAGGAAATTCCAACTGCTCTGCCTCTTCATGCTTTAAAAGGCTGTGAGCTGATATGAGATTCACACCAGAGGGAAAATCTATGGGATGCTCCCAAATGGAGAACGAAAGGAAAGCAGCCGGTCACATCTCTGGTAACCATTCAAGCCTGCTCAGCTGTGCCTGAAGTGGATGCTCCCCAAAGCAGCTCTCCTTGCTGACAAGAGGAGGAGGTTGGATGGTGAGGATCTTCCACTGGATATGAAAATTTAGCATAGCTTCTCACAACAATTCCCACCTTTGCCGCAGATAATCACTCAAACCTCAGCTGTTAGGCACTGTAAAAAAAACTCCTTTTCATGTGCAGATCCATTCTGGGAGTCCTTGCCTAACACTCAGAAGTGAAGTCATTCCAAAGCTGCCTCGAAAAGACAACAAAACCTCATGCATGACTGGTCTTGTGTGTAACACCATCAGCTTCAACCACCCTTCCCATACAGGAGCCGTGATTCCCACACCCTCCCTCACCCTGCTCCAGCAGTCACATCACCACGGGTGAGTCACATCAGCTTTGTCCTTCCCTGTTTTCTTAGTGGGGAACAGGAATCAAGGCAGAAAAGCCTAGAGACATTTCACTGGAAGTGTCTGTATGACTTTATGGAGACAAAGGTATTTCCTAAAGAGATCGAGAGATTTTTACAAATCAGCCACCTGGGATCTGCACCCCCCATTCCTCTCAAGGAGTTTTTTGCAGAGCTTGTTATCAGGAACATTACTTTCAGAATGAGATAACATAAACTAAATAGAACAAACTAAAAATAATAATTCTAAAGTATTTTTTTAAAAGGAATCTAAAATAGAGACCCAATGTAAGTGCCATTGGGAAAGATACTGGAATGCAGACCTGGAGCTGCAAAGAGCAGCAGAGCTCCTCTTACCCCACAGGCCACCTCTCTCACCTGAGGGGAAGTGCAAGGTTTCTTTCAGCAGGTCCTGCATTACCTGCTGTGGCTCAGCCCATGTCCAGACACCTCACAGAACACATCAGCCAGGGAACATAACAGCGTGGAGAAAGAAGTCAGGCAAAAATCTGCCCCCAGCTACGAAACATCCAAGGCTCACTGGCTTGCAACAAGCACTTTCTAACATAAAAAACAGTTTTCCCAAGCCACAGATACATGTAACTATTTTGTTTCAGGGAGATGAAATAATGTCTTACATCACACCACAAACTGCATAATTCTGGTACATAAAGAAGAGCCATGGGTACACTTAGAACCTGTTTGTTTTTCCTTTTAACATAACCAAAGTGATAAAACCCACATTTGTCTCTGGCATAGCTGTAAAAATAGCAAACAGCAGTACTCAACACGAGTCTGAGCATCTTTCTTGAGGACATTAGTTGTAACTTCAGTCAGCTCCTGCAGGTGACACCCAGCAGAGTTCCATCCCAGCATTCTCCTGTTTTCCGGGCAGATTCCCCACCTTAGGAGGTGACAGACTGTCCCAGGTGTCACTAAGACAGGTCTAGTGGCCTGTGGTTCTGTGCCTCTTTGGGCTCCAGGCTGGGAACACAGAAGGCAGGACAGGGTGGGCAAATGGCCATGTCCCATTTGCTGGCAAATGGGATGGCCAGGAAAACCCTCAGGAAGACACAGTCTGCTATCAAAGACAGTAGGAACAGTTTTACTAGCTCAAATTAGAACTGGATTAAATCCTGAGAACCACAAAATGGTTCTCTGTCTTTTAGTGAACGTCTTTAACAGAAAAAGCTTGTTTTTCATAGAAGAAATAACAAAAAACCTGATGCAATCAATATTAACTACTCAGAGTTTTTATTCTCTTCCTTTCTGGATATCACAGTGCCTTCTAAGACACATCACTTGTGTGCAAGAGGTGACTGCAAGATGTGATGCAAGACATGATTGCATCTTCTCAAAGCAAAGCAGTTACACATAGCAGTGTATTGTGAAAATGCCTTTGTTTTTTTAATGTTAGAAAGTGCTCACTGCAAACCTGTGACCCTTAAAAAGTTTTTAGCTGGAGGTTGGCTTTTGATCTGGGCTGTTGCACTTAACTTCTTCCCATTATCTGCATAGACAAGGTAAGTAAATGATATTTAATTCACTTCACTGTGTTCCTGTCATGTGTACAACACACCTCCCACAGAGCCCACTCACATTCAGCTCCCTGGGATAGTCCTGCTTCATCCTCAGAATCACACTCCTCTCCAGCATCACCACAGTGATGGCACAGCTTACACTCCACAGGCACATTTTGGAGAGCCAAGGGAGAGCAGGGATTCATGTAAACTGTTTATTGACACCAGCTGTCATTTTACTGTACAGAAGGTTTGTTGGGTTCTTTTACTAATAATTTAAAAAAATATGCTCTGGCGTAGAAGAGACAGGAAAATAAATCTATTTTTATTTGCAGTACTTTTGCAGGTCACTAAGTTAATGGAATGTTACTGCATCTAGTGAAGCAATTTTTTTAACTGTGTTTAGGAAACATGTTATTATTAGGAAAGCACGCACATCCCACAGAAGTGCTCTGGTCACAGCAGCTCTGCACAGGGCTCTGGCAAGTACTTTAACATCCCAAACCTCTCCCTCTCTTCTCCCCCTGGGCAGAAGAGATTTACAATGGACTAAGAAGCAGCAGAAATGTAGTTATGGGTGGCTGTCCCACTTCTGTAACCGCAACAACCTTTTTTTATTTTTTCAGGATTAAGCAGCTCTCTGGATTAAAAAAAAAAAATAAGCCAGAGTACTTTGGCACACAGATCACATATCAAAACATTAAGCTGGCTGAGGACAGAAAGAAGTTTAAGTCTGGTCCTCTGCTAGTGTTTGCAGTGTCCAAGGGAAGGGAGGGATGAAATGCCACAAAGAACACACAGCACAGAAGAATACTTCAAAATTCTTGCCACTAATCTCAGAGTGAGTATTAAAAGGCAGGGAAGCTGACAGAAGTACTGTATTTAGGAAAATCACTGAACAGCATAATAGTCCCTTTTTTTTTTTTACTTTAGTTTTAGTTCTGAGTCAGTTTTTATATCTGCCCTTAAAACTGCCTCATGCTTTAGTGCCCAACAAACACACGGCAATACCTTCCTGGGGTATAACCCACGACATAAGATTTGTAGGGGTCTTCTGAACATGAAAGGTACTGTCTGACAGCTGTCAGGAACATTTTCTGACAAAATAGCTCTCATCTGATCTGTGGGATCCCCTTCTCCCTGCTTTAAGTCCTTACAGGAATACTAGCACTAAGGAGATTAAATCGTTGTTTATTTGGATACAAGTACTGTTAATAGCAAGTGGTGACAGTCGTGTAGAAAGTGTAATTCATAACACAGACACCAAAAAAAGCCTCATTTGGGTTCCTCTCCAAAAGCCTTTTAAGACAGACACGTGGGCAGCCTGCTTTTCTGAAGCAGAAGACGTCAGTTTATATTTATACCAATCAAAACCAGCAGAAAAGGAGTGGTGGACTAGAGGGATCTTGTTTACCCAAACACAAACACTGCCCAGGATAGTGCATCTGTTTTCAGGCTGGACTTAAGGTCCACACACAGATAACTTATAAACCCACATTAACTTGCTATTCAGAGAGCATCAACAAGCTGGGCCATGAAGTTTACAAACCCCAATAACTTTTGAAGTGATGGAAAATAAAACTTACTGCACATTCATGAGGGAGAAGGAAAACAATCAAAGCCGAGCATGAAGCAAGCACTTGATACCTGCCTTGGGGCAGGTTTTCCCAGAGGTGTAATTTACAACTCCAGCACCAGGTAAATACAATCTCTGGCCACAGTCCCACAGTACAAATTGCTTTAAGCTCAGCCACAGCTGGTTACAGAGCACAGTGCTCAGTTCTCCTCCACTCACACACAGAGGCAAGGAGGCAGATAATCTTTCCTCAAAGCATTTTCTCCCATTGCACAAATCAGACAACATAAAGTGTTCTCTTCAGCTACTGCTCTTTCTTCTTTCCCAGCTACAGAAGAGTCTCAGTCCCCAGACAGGGCAAAGCGAGTTAACACCGAAATGAACAGTTCATGTTTAAAAGCCTCAGGCTCCAAAACTTCTGTTCCCTCCTCCCCAGTCAGTCATTACCACTCTCCCAAAAAAAAAGCTAAGTCCTGTTTGCAGAGAAATCAGTCAGGGTTTCTCCACCTCACAGAAAAAACACTGGGGAAGCAAAGAATTGTGTAACTTTCACTTGGGTCCGGAGAACAGTTTAGTCAGCAGTTTTCTCAGCACATTTGTTTCCCACAAATATCAGAACAACTACACCTTAAAAAAAAAAAAAAAAAACAAAAAAAAAAAAAAAAAACC